ATTTTGTCCCAGCAACAAGAAAGCAACTGAGGCATAAATGAAACCTAAGAATTTGCTTGGTGAAAGAAAATACTCACATATGAAATACCTAGAATAGGCAAATCTATAGAGACAGAAGGCAGCTGGGTATACTGGCACAGGCCTGTAATCTCAGCACTCAGGAGGTTGAGGCAGGAGGATCGCCACAAGTTCGAGGCCAGCCTGGGCTACATAGTGAATTCAAGGCCAACCTCAACTGTATAGCAAGAACCTGTCTCAAAAAAAAAGAAAAAGAAAAAAAAAAGCAGAAAGTACTTTAGTAGTTGCTTATGGCTCAAGGTATTGATAGGAAATAGGAAGCAACTATAAATGGGTACATGGTTTCTTTGTAGGGTGATGAAAGCATTCTGAAATTCAATAATTATGATATTTGCACAACTCTGTAAATACACTAAAACTTGTTGAGTTGTACCCTTTAACTGATTGAATTATATAGTACATTAATTTTATTTCCATAAAACTTATTTTTTTAAAGGTTTTCAAAGAAGAATTTTATTTCCAAGAATTAGAAAGTGGAATGATTATTTAAAAGGCCAAGATACACTTACAAAGGCTGATAAAGGAGATGCATAGGGCTATCTACCAACATTTCATTTAGATGGAGGTTACATTAATTTTTTCTCCCTATCATATCATACTATAAAAGAACAGGTTTGGAATACATTCATCATATGGAAATCAAAGACAATGTGAGAGAATTCAATTCAATATATTAGATATACCTAGTCAGGTTAACTATTCACCCTGCCTTTTCCTGACTCTTTAGGTTAATTTACAATATCATATACTTAATGTAGTTTGCTAGGTTTCTAGGTGTACCAAAACAGAAACAGCACACAGAAGTAAGACCAATGATATTACATTACTATTGGCTATAATTATGGTTAACTAAAAATGATTCCACATAACTATGAATTATAATCATAAGGACAAACTAGTATTAACACATCTTCTACCACACATTTAAGGAACTCCAAGGATCATCCAGCTATTATCTGGTGAATTTCAAATCATACCAAAGGCACAAGTGTACTTTTTTATCAAACAACCATGACGAACACTGCTGGAAGACTATAAACAAGCATGAGCAAAAATGGTGTTTACCTATATCGTATGTTGAACAGATTCAACAAATCAGTCCTTATCTCTCCTTTTGCTTTCCTATGCTGGGGATGAAACTCAGAGCCTCTCACATGCTAGGCAAAAGCTCTGCCTACATACATAAATAAATAAATAAATATTGCTTTCCTATGCTGGGGATGAAACTCAGAGCCTCTCACATGCTAGGCAAAAGCTCTGCCGCACAGCTCTATCTCCAGCCTCCTCCCATAACTTTCCTTTGAAGTGAATATTTTAATGACCACCTTATGGAACAAGCTATAGATAAACTGGACTGTGCTTGGGGTTGTCAGTTTCACAGTGGTTCACTACAGACCATTTGTGGGTGGTCTGCAGAGGCTCCTGTAACAAAATACCATAGACTGGGTGGCTTAAACAACCTTTATTTCTAAGTTCTGGAAGCTAGGAAGTCCCAGGTGAGATGCCAGCACAGTCAGGTTTTAGAAGGGCCCTCTTCCTGACTCTCAGACAACTGTCTTCCTGCTATTATCCACACGTGGTAGAAATAGAAAGACAGAGCTCTCCGGCACTGAGCCCACCACGAGGACCACACCATGATGTGATATACATCACGGTGGGGTATCTGTGCCCCGCATATGAACGGGTGAGGCACAAATATTCTGTCCATAACAGTGGGCAGAGGGAATAAAGCATAAAAAGAAGAACCACAGATATGGTGGTTGGGCAGGAGGAAGGAAACCTGATTTCTTTATTTTAATTTTTTTTTTTTTAAGTTTCAGCGTAGGATGCACAAATGTTGGCTACTGTCCACAGTGTTAGTATTCTCTAAACAACATCAAACTCATTTATAAAAATCTTCTATGCCTCCAATGACAGGCACAGATGACAAGCCTCCACTCTGTGCAGGAGTGGCTTAGAGGTAATAGGTTAGGTCATAACCACCACTTTTTAAAATTAAAACACCAAAGAGGGGACCAGCTTTTTCACTGTGAATCCATGGAGAAAGGAAAAAAGAAAGACCAGACCTGTGGAGTTCAATCTAAAGCATTTACTGGAAATGAAGATTCCAAATCTTTATGAGTCTTTGATTTTACACTGTTAAACATGATGTAACCATCTACTAACTGAAGGGAAATCTAAATTATTTGACTCTTTCCAAAATCCTCTGATATCTGAAGATATCCCAAGATGTTGCATAAAGAAGGCCAAGAAGAAGCTAGGCATAGTGGCGCATGCCTGTAATCCCAGCAGTCAGGAGGCTGAGGCAGAAGGATCAACAAGAGTTTGAGGCCAGCCTGAGCTACATAGTTCAAAGCTAGCCAGAACTACATAGTGAGATGTTGTCTCAAAAAAGAAAAGGAAGGCTGAGAAACTCTAATTTACTCAAGCCCCCAAAAGCATATTATCGGAATAATATCATATATGATTCTTGAGTTCATTTTCAACAGAGAAAGTAATGTTCCCTTTGGTTAAAATATTGTATTTTCTAAGTTGTTAAGGACATCCCCTGTTACAAAGCTCTAAAACAGTTTTCAGAAGAGCTACAAGACATCAATAATACTGTGAAATTATTTTCACGTAATAGTAGGTCCCTAAAAGCCTAATAAAAGGAAATCTTTAAAAAAAAAAAAAAAGGAAATCTACTTAGAGAATATGGGAAGCAGATTTGCATTTGTTTAAATGGAAAAAATAAAAGATAATTCATTTGTCTATGCGTGGAGACAGAGGAAATAAGTAGACTACATCAACTAATCAGCTATTTGTCCTACATACTATTCCATCCTCCCACAGTTTTACCTTTCTCCTGTTTCTACTCTATATTCTTTAGTTTGGGGCTTTCAAACTATGCTTCCCAAGTTTACTAGCCCTGCAGCTGGCTACACAGCACTTTGGAACTTACACTCTGTCTTTCCACTGGCATTACCCAGAGAACTCCAGTGTACATAGATACGTCTGAATGGATCGGACCCTTGGAGAACAGTGAATTAAGTGAATTAAGAATACCACTAGCTAACAAGTACACAGGGCAACATCATGATTCAATCAAGCTTTCAAGGACACCAGAAATGCTATCTATTCTTGCATTTTCTGAAAATAGAAAAGAACAAATGGAACTGTCTCTTAAAGCAGCCCACATCCAGTAATATGAAAGAGGGGAAATGTACCCCTAGGTCTACTCAGGCATAACTGAAAATCAAGGGGATAATAGTCTCCTCTACAGAGATATCTGTGAAAGCAGGTTTTGCATCTCATTCACAAGTGCTGTGTGGAAAAGCAGAAAGGAGAGCAGGTTTACGTATAAATTCCTAAATCCAACACAAGCAACAAAAATGGAAAGCAGAAGATACATTTATTATATATCTTGCACACACATGCTCTGTGTTCTGTTTCAATAGCAATCAATTGTTTTAGTCAAGCCAACAAAAAGAAATTTCCCAATACCATCTTTCTTCAAAGTTACCAATACAAGGAAAATACATACAGATATACAGATATGTATCTATAGCTAATGTACATACATTAATGGACACACACACGTTACATATTTCCTCCAGGGGCAACCTGCAGAAATAAAAATACAGCCACTTCTCCTCTCCCCCAGTAATCTACACTTTAAGCTTGGCAAGACTGGAATTTAACTCCATGTATCATATGCTTAGTATCTATTGGATGTTCCGTGTTCGGTAAATGAATGTGGAAAGTATTTGGAAGACAGGCTTTTGTTTTGTTGATGTACGTATTTAACATTCACGCGTACAAAACATATATATCTAGACAATCACACTGATGTCTTACTGAAAATGCCCTTGTGATAAAAAGTGGAATTGGTATTGCAACAGAATAGAACCTGCTGTTAACAATTAAAGAAACTATGAAGGGAAATTTCAAACATTTAAAATTCTTCCAAATATGGACTTTTCGTGTCAGTTATCTTGGTTTCCATGGAAATTAGGAAAAATAGCCTATTCCTACTTTGAAACAAAGACTGCTCTTGCCCATAATGTCACATATAATCACAAACAATCTTTTCATATCCTTATAAAGCTATATCAGAGAATTTACACATACAGTATTTCTAAGTAGTATGCAGTATGTTGGACAAGCTTCAGTGGAAATGAACATCTGTCACCTGTCATTTAAAGAGTAGCTCTAAAAGTATCCTTTAAGAGTAGTGAGAAGTACTGGTAATTCTCACACTAGTGGACACACGGCTTTGCTAGCCACTCGTTTCGGTCTGTCGGTCTGTTCCCTGAACAAAAGAAAACACTCTGTTGTGTATAGACTGGGGTTTCGTTTTGTTTTGTTTTATCCTATCTTTATTTTGTACTTCCAAAAACATAAGTAGGGAAATAGAGTAGGTTTTGTTTTATCTGAAGGTTTTTAAAAATCGGAAGGCAACATAAAGTTAAACTTCACATGTTTGTTTGCCACCAAATCAATGTTCTGAAGAAACCATAAAATACACACAAAATAAGCTTCTTTCAAAATAGTTGTTTTGCAACAGAGAGAGAACATAGAGTAGCCCAAGACGCATCTATAACAGAGAGTAATATTCCTTCCTCACGACAAAATCCCACGGAACCTTTGTTCTATTTGTAAACACGAGCTGAGGGCAGCGCTGCTTCGGGTACCGGAGGTGAAGAGGACGCGCCCACCCGCGCCCCGCCAGGCCGTCGGCGGAGGATGGCCTCCGCGGACCCTGCACGGTCCTCTGATCATCGGAACTCCGCGGCTTCCAGCCTGGGGTCCACTGTCCCCGCTCACCTCCCCTGCAACTGCTCCTCCTCCAACTGTGCGCGTTCTGCCGGGCACCCCGCATCCCACGGCGGCCCGGCGGCCCCGATCGCCGCTCCCCGGCCCCGTGCCCTCGGGTGGCTTACCGAGGAGCGAGCCTATGAAGATGACGATCTGCACGGTGGTGGTGAACTGGCGGTACAGCTGAGCCTCGCCGCCCAACTCCCCGAGCGCGCCGCGGTTCGAGCCCGCCGCCGCGGCGCCCGACGTGTTGCGCGACTCGCTGGCGTTCGCGGAGAACCAGCTCCCGTTGTGCCCCATGGTGACGCTGGGGCTCCGGCTCCTCTCGCCGCCCGCCCCGGGCGCGGAGGGACGCGCGATCGCTGGCGGAGCCCTGGAGAGCCCGGGCGGCCGGCGGGTCCCCTCTGGTCTCCACATCGCCAGCACCGCTGCCCGGGAGGCGGGGTGCGAGGGAGGCGAGGCCGCGCCCCACGGCCGTCCCCTCCCGGGTCCCCGTCAGCCGCCCCCTGGAGGCGCGTCGTAAGCGCCCGCGTGCCTCGCCGTCCCCGCCAGCGGCCAGCGCGGCCGAGCGCCCTCCGCAGGCAGCGACACGCAGAAGGGGGCGTGAGCCGGTCCCGGGAGCGCCCTGCGCTCCCGCCGCCCCCTCAGCTGGGTTCCCTCTGACTCCCGAGCGCCTGGACGTCCCTCTCGGGTCCCCGGGGCTCACGGGCTCGGCCCCCCTGCTAGCTGGGAGGACAGCGTGGCTGAAGCTGTTTGTCAGCCCTGCTGGTTTCGAGGCCGGAGGGCGATGTGAAACCTACGAAATGCCCGAGCCGGGTGGCCAGAGCTCAGAGGGGACCCAGAGACCCAGTCGGGGCCCACGGCCTGGGCGGGACGCCCGAGTCTGCACAGCCTCGCCCCGCCTGGAGCGCTGTCAGCCAGGACCCCTTTCTGCAGCCCCTCGGGCCCGCTTGGCCTCTGCACGGCCAGGCGTCCCGTTTCCCTCTGGCCTTCTGCAGGGACAGAGCTGGACGGCCTCACGCGGACGAGGGAGGGTGTCCCTCGTGGGGTTGTGACACCGACCCCGCGGTTGCCGGCTCCCGGCGCGTGCCTGGGGCGGCCGGGGGCGCGCGGCCGGCAGGGACGACACGTGACGCGCGCGGCCCCGCCCCGCTTGCTGGCGAAGGGGGACGGCGCCATCTTGGCCCCGCGCGCCGTGACTTCTAGGGTGCGTGGGAGACGCTGAGGATTCGTGTCTGGCCGCCTTGGACGCGCTAGCGACTCCTCCACGAGTTCAGTTCATTTACTACCCTCGTTTCTGCTGCGAGTCTCGTCAGCCGGGGCTGCCCGCAGGCTCATAATTACACCTGTGAGGGGCTCTCAGCCAAGCCTAGAGTGTGGTTTAAGCGTTTAAAGGTGGAATATAGAAACGTGCATCGTTAACAAGACCCACTTCTGTAACGTTCACAGCTTAATGGAGTTGTAGTGGATTCCAGCAATGAAGAGTTGTGGGAAGCATCTTCCTGCTGAGCTGATGGAAAGGTTGGGAAGCAGGGATAACCAGTAAACAGAAGAACTGGCAGAATAAGAGGTGCCAAATGGGCGAAAGAAAGTTATTCAGCATCCAGAGGAAGGAGCTAGGAACAGAAAAGGAGACGGGAAAGACAAAGACTTGTTTGGTTTGACTTCATGGCAACTGGTTTCTTGCTCTTAAGTGTGTAACAGAGGTCTTTGACATGGTGAAGAAGGTTAGGTCCAGGACAATAACCCTTACAATGACTTAAATTACAGTTATTTTTTCGGTTGCCTCAATTTGGCTACTTCGTTTTCACTAGAAACCCTTGTTATTTACTGTTCTTTGAAAGGCAGAGTCACCAACATCTAGCACACTTCCTTAAGGAGAGTTGGAGAATGTGTGTGGAGTTGTTTGGTAATATTTGCAGAAATATTCTTACCCATTTTAAAGCTCCACCACCTATTCAAAACTATTGGGATAAAGATGTAAAAAGCAGTATTTTGCAGATATAAAGAGTAGATAAAAGCAAGAAACCTCTCTTTTTTTTTTTTTTTTTTTTTTTTTCAATTTGAAAAGACGCTACTAGCGGGGTTTGGTGGCACACTCCTATAATCCCAGCATTCTGGGAGCTTGCAGCAGGAGGATACAAAGTACCAGCAATTTAGCTCAGACTTAGTGAGGTCCTGTCTCAAAAATAAAATTAGAAGAAAATTTTAAAGGTTAAGGATATAGCTCAGAGCAAAGGCTCTGGTGCAGGGGAGATGAGGTGTCAGACTAAATTGTCTATAGCCCCTAAATTGATGTTAGAGTCTAGGACTTGTAGAATCTAGGAATAACCTAGTCAACTGAACTCACCAAATTTTTCGGGCATGTGGAAGAATTGCCTTGTGAAAATATACAGCCAGGGACATAGCTGCATGATTCTAATAGCTATGTGTTGTATGAATGTTTCATTGATTAATATGATGAGAAGCTAAGATACACGATGCAAAAGATTGAACATGATTTAAATATACTTAGATATATGTTGTCATTTGAGCATCTCCCACTGCATAACAAACCATCACAAGAGGGCACATTCTCAGACTTGCTCCCTGGGTTTGAAATCTGAAGGATATTTCTTCACACAGCTGGCAGTTTCTGGGAACTCAGCTGGAATTATATATATATATGGCCCCTCTGTGTGGCTGATTGGGTTCCACACAACCTGGCAGCTATGTGCCATAAGTGAGTATTCCAAGAGCGACAGTGCCAAGAGGGCAAGGCAGAAGTAGCACTGATTTTTATAACCTGTTCTCAGAAGTTACATAGCATCACCTATATTCTGTATTCCATTTGCTGAAGCAGTCGCAAAGCCACTATATTAATGGAAAAGGACCTGGAACACAGCTCTCAATTGAGAAAGGTTGAAGTCACCTTGTGAGAAAAGTATGTGGAATTGTTACAGAAAACAGACCAAACACAGAGAGAAACAGCACCAAAAAGGTTTAGGAAGCAGTTTATTTACACCAGTGGGCCTGACTGGGATTCTTCCCAGAGTCTGTACCCCACCGAGGGTTTGGGGACTTTTATACAGAGGACAAGCACAGAGGTACAAAGGCAGATTTGGCACATTGTGATTGGAGGGCTGGGTGACATCATGGGTTGCTAAGGGAGTTTAAACATCTCAAGTTACATTGCAAGGCCATCAGGTAAACAAGCATGGGTTACACAAAGGAAGAAATGTCCCATTATCAGGCTTTTCCAGACATGTCCATCTGGTTTTGGTGGGCATTCTTGGCAGGTTTTATTTAAAATTTTAATATCACTTTCATTTCCCCCTCCCTTAGTTAGTCAGAAACATTATTTTCAGAGATGTTGGTATTTAAGGCTGTATAGGAGGCACTGAACCTAAGGGTCATTTGGAGGCTAAAACTGTTTACTTGTTTTTTAATAAAGGTGAGCCAATTTAGTAAGCAAGGTCCTATTAAGAATATGAGGAGGAGGCCTGTTAGTGGTCCTGACAGAGCTCCAAGCCACAGCTCCCAGTTTCCCAGGGAGCTCCACCAGTAGTAGCCTATCTGTCTGTCTCAGGCCCACTGGTTTATCTATTCTCTCAACTGACAGGCAGTTTCCCTAACACCAGTACTTATTAGCATAGTAGCAATATTCTTCCTCTGAGACCAAGCACGTGGCCCCTTGTTGGGCTATGAGGAGATCTAATTCCCTGCGGGTTTTAAGAACTACCATGGCTAGGGAATCGGCTTGGTCTTGTAGCCTGTCAAGGGCTCCCTGAACTGCTGTAAAATCATCTATTTGTGTGCCCAATTTTAATTATTATTGCTGGCCCATACCCAAGGCAGTAGCAAGCATGTCAGCCAAGCAAGCTGAGTAGGAGCAGACACAGATTGGTAGTGACAGTCATCCTGACCCTAGGAAAGGCAGTTCAGAGTACACAGCCCAACAGTTACACCAACGTAGAAGAGAATAAAAATGACCTTATGGGGAACTTCCCAATCCTCTGGGGACACAACCCAGAACCCTAGGGCAAATACTGAGATTAACAAGTGGAAGTAGACTACAAACCAAACTGGATAACAGAACATGAATCAGTCAGGGCAGATTCTCCAGTGTGCAGTGTCCATCCAGCTTCAGTCATGCGTAGACCCATCAGCTTCCAGAGTGACAGGAACAGGGCTTTGAGTATGTTGTTTCCTCAGGCTCATCTTCAGGGGAATAAATTTCATCCAGGTAGGCTTTGCAGCTGTCATCTGGGTGAGCTTTCTTGATCCTAGAATGATGGATCCACGGCTGGATCTCAGAAACCTCTATGGCTGTGGGAGTAATCAAAATAACTATATAGGGGCTCCTCTAGGGGCTCCTTTTTCCTATTTTTTACCCACACTAGGTCTCCTGGGTTAAATGTGTATGCAGGGATCCCTGTGGAGATAACTGCCCTTTCAGCTATGTTTTTGTGTATTTGAGAAAATTTTTTTTCCTAAACGTGTAAGTTGTTCCTGCAGAGATATGTTACCTAGTTGATATAGGTCTCCCTGAAGACCCCTAATTATGGATGGGGGTCTCCCATACAAAACTTAAAAGGTTGTGTATCCTTTGGGTCCTAGTGAGCTTCAGACCTTGAGGAGGGCCATGGGAAGCAAATCTACCCATGGTTTCTGAGTTTCTTGGTGATACTTACTTAATACTGACTTTAAACTCTTATTTGTTTTATTAACTTTTCCAGAGCTTTATATAAGTGGCTATATATAAGGTATATAAGTTCCATTTGATTTTTAATTCTTTAGTCAGCTTCTGGGTTATTTCTGTGACAAATTCAAGCCCATTATCACTGCCTATTGTTATAGGCAGCCCATACCTAGAGATAATCTCTCTCAGTAATACTCTACAGTCTTCATGGCTTTTTCTGTTCTAGTAAGAAATGCCTCTAGCCACTCAGAATAAGTTCAGACAAGTACCAGGAGATATTTGTAGCCCTTACATGGCTTGACTTCTGTAAAGTCTATTTGTAGGTCTTTAAAACGGGAAACTCCAGCATGTTGGATACCAGGTGAGGATTTAGGTCCAAATGGGGGTTCAGTCCTTACACAGGTTTGACATCTCTGACTAACAGAGGCACAGATTGAGGCTAATTTTGGAATGTAATAGTAACATCTTAGAAACTGATTAATAGCAGTTTTGCCTCCACGAGTGATGTCATGATGACATTTTACCCAGGCACAAGCCAAGTTCTGTGAAACTATCATCTGATCATTCAGTGAAGTCCAAGCACCAATTGGGTCCAGCAGGCCCCTTCCTGTTGTGCCCATCACTTTCTTCCATGGAGTAGTGGAGGGGCTTGCTGCAGAGACTGAGGACAGTTTTAGGTGGTATTTCATGTTGGGCTTCCAGATTTTGTACGAAATCATTTGTTCCCCCACGTGGAGCTTTCTGCTGCCAATTTGGTAGCTTCATCTGCTTTGTGATTGCCAAGAGTGACACTGTCTTTTATTTTTTGGAGTCCTTTACAGTGGATAAGGGC